CACACATGGACATAATTGTTTATTACGAATCAATCATTTCTTTTTCCCTGAATGTTTCAGGCCATGAAATAAATCTGATTAGACAAATTAGGAGTAGACAAATTCTACAGAGCCACCAGTCTTCTTATCCTACATCTAGTACACATGCATTAGGTATTTTTAAACTGCACATTCACACACATTTGACTGTGTTACTGTGTTTGTTGGGAGAAAATGTGAATGTGGTTTAAAAAAATCTGGTGCATGCACACCAGGAGTATGGAAGAGGCCAATTATAACTTAGCATCTCTACATAATGTAGCACCAACTAACTCAAGTATCTTGCCAATTTTCTAACCAACTCTTAACAACCATAGAGTTTAGACATGAACAATAGGAGTTGGATGATTCTACAGAATCATCTTTTAGCAACCACAGAGTACCATCACCTAACATGAGTATCTTCTAATATACACTTCAGATGAAGATAATATGATCATATTACCCAAATACAATACGGCAAGTATAGTCTTCATCGGTTACTTCATATGTTCTAGAATTTGCTCCATCAATTAGAGTTCTTTTCCCATCACTGGTTTCTCTATACCAACTGAATAAGCTAGATCCTTCATAACCACCAAAATAGTTTCCTTCCCCGAGGTAAGTACTTGATGATAACTCCTCTATATGAACATTGGAAACTACAGGAGAAGCTGCCATAAATTTTATTTTAGCATTTTAATAAACTTTGAGATAACTTTGAACTCAAATAAACACTTACCAAAGTTGAAATAGACAATGGTGTAAGGAAAAGGATTTAAAGGATCTTAATAGTGAATCCAAGACTAAATACAAAATTCCTTTGAATGATTTGAAATAAGGGTGATACAATGGTTTAATGAACCACTTCATAAATAGGTACCTCAAACGGTCATTACTTAATAATACAAGCAGGATTATGTAGTAAGGACTGTACCAGCAGAAACAGGAAATTCACAAATGGAAACCAGTGCATTTCCAGATTTTCCATCGACACGCGTTGGAAGCCAGTATAAAGCCAAGTACGTTCCCACGTCTTCCAGGGTAGGAGTATACATTCTGGCACGAAAATAGTTATATGAGTGCTGCCATAGTAGACTTTACAGTAGCATGTCATATCACCAATTTATACTTAAAAACTTACAAAGTCTTGCAACATGTATGAGCATCGACTAGGCTGTACGGTGCATCTAGTAGTGCGGCTCCATGAAGCTTATCCTTTATTCTAAACCATGTATATTCTCCAAGCCCTTCTTTACCTCCAAAATATCTCTTTACAGGAATAACCTCCTTGCCTTCATAGCATTCGGGAATTGTTAATTCTACCCCCTTTGGTTCCCCTATATCAAGGAAATATAGTTAAATAAAGAGGTTGATGATGAGAATAGACACCCAAGCACATACACTATGTTACCTTAACAAATTTCTTCTATAATGTCCAAATGTCAATATATGCGGAAACGATAACCCATTTATGATTATGTAGTGAAGATAAAGTATAGATGATTGGAAAGTTACAATGATGCACATTATTCAAGCATAACCTGCTATTTCATGATAGTCCAAGCAACAGTAAATTTTGTATGGCTGAATATTATTGTTATATATCAACTGCAGTATGTAATCATTTGATCTACGAAAGAATATGATGTAGAATCAAATGAAACAAATCTACCATCACATTGTATACAAATTTGCATATCCTACAATCAACTTACGAACCACAACTTGTCCAGACATTTTATTAACAAAGATGTATTAATGTATGCATCTATGTAAGCACCGGAACGCAGAGCATGAAACGGGAAACGGAAAGTGTGACAAAAGAGATTTCTAAAAAATATAGGATATGAAAAAAATCACTACATTCCATCAAGGAGTCCCAGAAAAAGAAAACAAAATTGGAAACCCAAAGTTTTTGAAAAGCTAATTATTTAGGGAAATGGATTTCCCAATTCTTTTAAATTACGGAAATGGTCCTGAAAAGGGAAATTGAATTTTCTGAGTTTCCGACATGCTTCCGAGTTTCCGAAACGGGGAAACGTAAGCTTTGGGATATTTATGTGACTCATAGGTGTGCATTAACGGAAAAACTCACCAGGCTCTACTGGTCTAGACATAATGCTCTTGGGACTTCCTTTCATCCCATCTTTTCTTATAGGAGTGTAAATAAGCTCTATGCGACTCTCAACATCACTAATAGTCAAATTCAAAAAGTCTGCAAAGAAAATAAGATCACCTCAAACATTTGAGGTCTGACATCTTGACAAAAAGTTCAAAACGTATAAATTTTCATTTCAGGAATACTTGCCGCTAGAACTGATTTTTTCTTTGATACCACCAGTCTTCACTCGAAACCATTCACATGAACATTCACCCATCTCCCTGAAGAATAAATTACTAAAAGATAACACAATAGAAGAAATCAAGGAACAGAAATCTATATATTGGATACATGTCTAGTAGTTCAACCCGCCAGTATAAGAAGGCGTGAAGCCAACACGTTCCCCTTCAATCAAAGATCCATCAAATTCGAGCAAATGGCAAGTTGGTGGCCCTGCAAATAAGAAGTTGCACACTTTTTATACTGTGAAAAGTATAATGATATTTATTATTCTTGATATCAAAATGCTACACAAGTAGCTATATTTATAGCCATATTAGAGTATTAAGGTTCCAATACAAAATGGGCTAGGTGCAATACAACTAGGGTTTCCGTACTCCCCCTCAAGCGGGAGCATATAAATCATATGCACCAAACTTGTTTCAAATATACTCCACTCTAGGACCTCTAAGAGACTTAGTTAAAACATCTGCAAGGTGATTTTAACTTGGCAAACGTTCCCCGGCATTTGCCCCACTGATTTTGGTGGTTTGCCTTCCGGGTTAAAAAAACATCTGCAAGGTGATAATATTTATTGGGTTGGACATCCGGCCCAATCGGCATCACAGTATCCCACAATATCACAGTGACCTCGGTCATCGAATAGATCCCCTTGTCCTGATGTTTTAGTGATGCACTGATGCATCTTAAGACTCAGATAACTACATCCCAATGTTTGTTACATGGCTTATCAAGAAATTGACTAAGAACACCTATCGCGAATGAAACTATCTGGTCCCGTGATGGAAAGGTAATTTAGTTTGCCAATGAACCTTCCATATTTTCCCTTGTTGCCCAGAGGGTCTCCTTCCATATTTTCCCTTGTTCTGACAACAGTTTGATGTTTGGATCCATTGGTGTATCCACTGGTCTACACTCCAGCATACTTGTTTCCTCAAGAATGTCCAAGGCGTCTTTTCTTTGTGAGAGGGAAATTCAGTTTGAGACAGTGCGACCTCAATGCCTAGGAAGTACCTCAGCTTTCCCAAGTCTTTTGTTTGGTGGGATAGATTTATAGGTAAGCAATGAAAGCATTATAGGCCCAACTTGAAGTTAATATATAGTTTGGAAATGACAACTAGTTATTTGTCGATACCTGGAAGGATAGGCCCAACTTGCTCTGAAAGAACAATAGCACCACGGGCCCAATCACAACGGATGGGTTCACAGGATACAGATATAAAATAGCCAACATCATCAAGTGAAAGTAAATAGGATGAATCTGTAGCGCCATTGATTTCAACGCGTCTTCCATCTGAAATGGTCTGCACAGGGAATTTCTACCAGTAAGACAGTGTCAGATCTAATTCTAGAAAATGCACAAGACATGACTACTATGCTTTGCTTATTTCAAAAAGCTGACAAGAACATGTTTCCTAACCCCAAAAAAACTTCATTATATGGAACCGTTCCATATGTTCAACTCTACTTGTGGCTGTGAACTAGGATATATAAAAATTAAAAGGTTAAAAGTCTAATAATTATGCTTGATACGTTTACTTACCTTGAACCAATGGTAGACAGAGTCTCCCTCTTCACCACCCCAATATTCTTTTTCAACATGTAATGTGGAGCCTTCAATAGCAACCCCAACTATTTGTAAGGAAAGCAATCTCGGAGTCCCTACAAAACCATAACCATTTTAATGAAACTCAGAATACACATAATTACTTTGGTGGCGGTGCTATAAACTAGTTACGTCACTTACATGTGAGAGGCACAAAGTGAGGCAACACCCAGAGCATACTTGGAGTAAATTTCAATTAAAACATATATCCATTTATATCAATATATGGTTTTCATAAGGATTTTACTTTAAAATGTCCAATAATGCCTTAATGGGCTTTCAGTTATGCATACATTGGGGTAATACCAAGTCACCAGCAGGACCTATGTGCCCCTCTCTTCCCATGCTACATCCATCCGCTGGCTGAGAATACGTATCAGAATATGTAGGCTGTTTAGTCAAGGATAAATGACACAAACTAGCACCGGGTCCACTACCGAGAGACTGAAGCTATACCAGGAGACTCATGTGTTCAGTGATCCAGATTCCAGAAGTAAGTGAAAAACATCATGTGATTGTTCAACTTAAGTAGAAGATGCGTATAGATTGGCCACTCTACCACCTATATATTCCGTCGAGTAGTTTAAGGTTTTATACCCTATCCTTGGGACTCTGCAGGTTGTCAAGTACTGACAGTCTGAGAGGGATTACTTGGATGGTTTAACTAAAGAAATGAAGACCAAGAAACTGTGTAACAAGGAAAAAACGCAGCATTGATGCACAAACGTCCAAGTCCATTTCAACATTAATAATTTTAAGTTTAGCTTCTATATTCGCAAGATTTGACACCATCAAAAATCAAGGTTACAGTCTCGCGGGATAGTCCAACTAAAGTGGTTGAGAAGAAGAATGGAAATGGTTACAAGATTGACCTTGGAACAAAGCTCAAAGGTATGAAGCACAGAAACATATATGCATACTGGTACGGATCCAACATTTTCTAAGTATACTCAACACGGTTACAGCAGGGAGACCACAATTTAGGCATAATATTCCTGTTGCTCACTTTTACTCACACCAGTAGTTTTTCAGGGAAATTAAGAGTCAGCTGCAAGGGTAGTTGATACAGAGCAGCAGATCGCTCCTGAGGAGCCAGCGATCGAGGAAGATCAGGGCCTTAGGCCCTGGATTGTTTACCGGCGGCGTGGACGGGATGGGCCCACATCCGTGGGCTGGGGCGACCAGCTTAGTGGCTGAATTATTATGGTCTTAATTAAATTAGTTATTAATTTTTAGTATGTTTCCTAAATTGAGTTTATTTCCTAGTATGAGTTGTTTAGGAGTTTTACCTTAATTAGGACATGTAGTCTATTTATACCCCTGAAGAGGGTTATTCAAACTATGCTTTTCAATAAGAATTTGTGTGTTTAAGCTATATGCTTTAGGCAACGGTTGCTACCGTTGATTGTTATTTTCTGTCCTTATCAATTTGGTCCGACCTGCCGGATCCCGTCCCGCCACAATGACGACAAGATCTCAAAGTGAACGGTTGCAAGAATTGGAAACTGAACAAAGTCGCATAGGAGAAGAGGTCGCCCGCTTGGGGGCCGAACAGATCCGGACGAACCAGACTCTCGCCGATCATGGTACGAAACTAGAAACGATGAACCTAACACTCGGAGAACACGGGGCGAAACTGGAGGAGATCGCGTCCTCTCTGGCCGCGATAACAAAGGCGTTAATTCCGCCTAAATCACCGACCGGCGACGAGGTGGGTGCCCACATCAGCACGCTGATCGTGCCGCATAGCGACGGGGAAGGTCGCACTTCCACTCCGACGCCACTTCCCACGTTTGATGGTGGGGACCCGATCGGTTGGTTAGCCCGGGTGGAGCAGCAGTTTGAGTTACAGGCAACCCTACCGGAAAAAAAAGTGGCTGCCGCTATGGTGGCCATGGAAGGAGGAGCACTTTACTGGGTGACGTGGCTGAGATCACGCAAACCCAATCTGTGCTGGGACGACTTCAAACAAGCCCTAGTGACTAGATTTGATTCCCGATACCAAGGAAACCGATTTGAACGTCTTTCTGGAGTCAAACAAGACGGAACAGTGGAAGATTACAATATCCTTTTTGTCCAATTAGCCAGCCAAGTTCCCGGATTGACCGACGATCACTACATGGGGTACTATATGAACGGGCTTAAGGAAGAAATAAAGTGCTCACTGCGTTTACTTCGTCCAGATTGTCTAGAAACTGCTATGGAATTGGCCCACGGAGTGGAACATAAGCTATTAATTCAGAATGGTGGAAAAGGGGGAGCGAATCAATATTCTTCCGGATCACGCCCCAGTATTTACCCAAGGTCAAACCCGGGGTTTTTCCCGAGTACGGGCAGCAGCAGCAGCTCGCGTAATCCCAGTGGCAGCATACCAAGGGTCACGGGTCAGCCGATGGGACCCACATCACGCGCGGCCGCAGCAGTTACCGGATCTTCCGGGCAAACCACGGAACGTTCCCGATTTACCCGACTGCCCACAAAGGTACTAGACGAATTGCGCGCCAAGGGATTATGTTTTAAATGCCGGAAGCCGTTCACTCCGGGTCACGATTGCCCTTTTAAACAATTAAGGGTAATGCTTGCAGAGGAGGACGAAGAATTTGATTTTCAGCAGCACGACTATTGCGAAATAACGGGGAATGAAGAGCTGCCACTTTACGAAGAACCCCCTGATGGCGAAAACAGTGACTTTCCGGTGTATGCCATGGCTGGAATCTTTAGTCCCCAGACAATGAGGCTTCGCGGGATCATCAAAGGGTGCTCCGTCACAGTGCTAATCGATAGTGGGGCTAGCCATAATTTTGTATCGTCCTCATTAGTTTCGTTACTGCACCTCACACCGGACAAGACTGGTAAATTTGGAGTACAATTGGGAGACGGGCACAGGCAAGAGTCCGAAGGAGTATGCCGTCAGCTGCCCATAAGCTTGCCGGGATGTGCTATCAAAACAGATTGTTTCGTATTTCCATTAGCTGGAGTGGACCTCATACTAGGGGTTGCGTGGTTAGCAACGCTAGGGGAAGTGCGAACAAACTGGAACAAGTTAACCATGCAGTTCAAGGTTAACGGCAAGCAAGTCGAGTTAAAAGGGGATCCTTCCATGTGTAAGAATGCAGTAAGCTTACGTTCTCTTCTTAAAACAACCGATAAGGAATTTGGTGCAGTGGTCCTCATCCGCGAAGCTAGCAAAATGGTGGGTGCTACGGCAGATACATTGGAGGATATTCTGGGAACATACGCAGAAATATTTAGCGACCTACAAGGGCTGCCACCGCAACGCTCAAGAGACCACCGGATCGAGTTAGTTCCCGGGGCAAAACCAGTTTCGGTTCGGCCGTACAGATACGGACATTTACAAAAGGATGAGATCGAGAGATTAGTTGATGAGATGCTTCAGGCTGGCATCATTCAGCCCAGTACCAGTCCACTCTCCAGTCCGGTATTGTTAGTAAAAAAGAAAGATGGCAGCTGGCGCTTTTGTGTGGATTACAGGGAACTAAATAAGTCGACTATACCAGATAAATACCCCATTCCGGTGATTCAAGATATGTTGGATGAGCTGGCAGGAGCTGTGGTTTTTTCTAAAATTGATTTGCGCTCCGGGTATCACCAGATCAGGGTGGCTAAAACTGATGTGCATAAGACCGCTTTTCGGACTCACACCAGACACTATGAATTTCGAGTGATGCCATTCGGGTTAACTAACGCGCCGGCTACTTTCCAAGCGATCATGAATGATTTGTTCCGGCCCTATTTGAGAAAATTCGTGCTGGTATTTTTCGATGACATTTTGGTATACAGCAAAACATGGGCCGAACACCGGGAGCAGTTGGATCACGTGTTAAGTATCTTAAAGGCGCATCAGTTCAGAGCCAATAGGAAGAAGTGTAGTTTCGGCCAGCCACGTGTGGAGTATTTGGGACACATCATATCTCAGGCAGGGGTGGCTATGGATCCTGCCAAAGTTAGTGCGGTGGTAGAGTGGCCCCGGCCGAAGTCTGTACGGGAAATTCGGGGGTTTCTGGGGTTGACTGGTTATTACCGAAGGTTCGTAAGAGAGTATGGGTTAATTGCACGTCCACTTACAAACCTTTTAAAAAAGGAGGCCTTGCACCGATTTCAATGGACGGAAGAGGCCGAGAGAGCCTTCCGCCAACTTCAGAAGGCCTTGACCGAGGCACCAGTGCTTGCCATGCCCCAGTTTGACCGCCAATTTGTGGTGGAATGTGATGCATCAGGTATCGGTGTTGGGGCGGTACTTATGCAAGAACGGAGGCCTATTGCTTATTTTAGTAAATCATTGGCTAATAGAACACTGTCTAAATCAGCCTACGAGCGGGAGATGATGGGACTAGCTTTAGCCGTGCAACATTGGAGGCCATATTTAATTGGAAGAAAGTTTATCGTGCGCACGGATCATCGAAGCCTTAAGCATCTACTCACCCAACGAATTGCAACGCCTTCCCAGCAGGTTTGGGTTGCCAAGCTGCTTGGCTATGACTTTGACATCGAGTACAAAACGGGAATTTCAAATACGGCTGCGGATGCTTTGTCTAGAAGAGGCGAAGAGGCAGAATTGGCAGCAATTAGCATACCAGAATGGATAGGATTGGCTGACATAGAGGAGGAGCAACGGAATGATACCAACTTGCGGGACATTATACAGGCAGTGGAGGCCGATCCGAATAGTATGCCGGGCTATGAACTAAAAGGACGAAGGCTGATCTTCAAAGGACGGTTGGTGCTGGCTTCAGACTCAAAATGGATTCCTCTCCTTTTAAAAGAATTCCATGACACGCCGACGGGAGGCCACGCAGGAGCTTATCGGACCTACCGAAGACTGGCCATGAATGTAACATGGAGAGGAATGTTCCGTAGGGTGCGAGCTTATGTCGCTCAATGTTTGGTCTGTCAAAAGGTAAAATACGAGGCCGCATCACCAGCAGGACTGCTGCAGCCCCTGCCGATTCCCAACCTGGTTTGGGAAGATATATCCATGGACTTCATCACTTGTTTACCAAAATCAAAAGGACACACATCTATTCTGGTGGTGGTAGACCGTCTATCCAAATATGGGCATTTCATTGCACTCAAGGCCCCTATCACAGCACGTTCGGTGGCAGAAACATTCGCCCAGGAGATAGTTAGATTGCATGGCATTCCTCGCTCAATTGTAAGTGACCGAGATTCTCTATTTGTGAGTGCTTTTTGGAAGGAGATTTTTGCCTTGTCGGGTACACAATTAAAGTTTAGTTCGGCATACCACCCGGAAACCGATGGCCAAACGGAGGTATTGAATCGAGTATTAGAGACATATTTGCGGTGTTTTACTTGCGAACAACCAAGGCAGTGGATACGTTGGCTACCGTGGGCCGAATATTGGTATAACACTGCTTTTCAAACGGCAGCAGGAATATCCCCATTTGAGGTGGTTTATGGGCGGCCACCCCCCACAATTCGGCAATATCTTCCAGGAGAGGGCGAGGTGGCAGCCGTGGCAGATGTACTGGGAAGTCGGGACGTCATGTTAAAGCGCCTTAAAGAAAATCTGCAAATTGCACAACAACGCATGGCGACCCAGGCCAATAAGCATCGCCGAGACGTAACTTTCCAGGTAGGGGACAAGGTATTCTTAAAGGTTAGACCACACCGACAAACCACTCTTTTCCGCCAGCCACATAATAAGCTCTCGGCCAAGTTTTATGGACCTTTTCTAATTGAAGCACGCATTGGACCTACTGCTTATCGTCTTGCACTACCGCCAACTAGTCGTATTCACCCAGTATTTCATACTTCTCAGTTGAGAAGGGTAGTTCGAGATCATCCGGTTGAAAGTAACTTACCAGAAAGTTTAGAGTTACCAGTTGGGCCAATTTTTGAGCCTGAAGAGATTCTGGCAACACGAAAGAAAAATGACAAGGACGAAGAGCTATTAGTCAAATGGGCAGGGCAGTCAACTGATGATGCTACATGGATGGATAAAGCAAGATTTCGGGGCCAATTTCCAGACTTCAACCTTGAGGACAAGGTTCTTCCGAGGGAGGATGAAGTTGATACAGAGCAGCAGATCGCTCCTGAGGAGCCAGCGATCGAGGAAGATCAGGGCCTTAGGCCCTGGATTGTTTACCGGCGGCGTGGACGGGATGGGCCCACATCCGTGGGCTGGGGCGACCAGCTTAGTGGCTGAATTATTATGGTCTTAATTAAATTAGTTATTAATTTTTAGTATGTTTCCTAAATTGAGTTTATTTCCTAGTATGAGTTGTTTAGGAGTTTTACCTTAATTAGGACATGTAGTCTATTTATACCCCTGAAGAGGGTTATTCAAACTATGCTTTTCAATAAGAATTTGTGTGTTTAAGCTATATGCTTTAGGCAACGGTTGCTACCGTTGATTGTTATTTTCTGTCCTTATCAGTAGTGGACAGTGTTGAAAAGCTAATAAAGTAGCATAGAGCGGAAGACGTAGAAAAAGATCGGAAGAGATTAAGAGAAGACGAAAAAGTAGGGATAATTATGTCTTTAGAGATCAAAGGGTGGGAAAAGTTACCAAAAAATCAAAGAGGGCAAGTAATATTAAATTCCCACAAAAGGAAAGTGGAGCAAGTAGAAGTGAACAAACCGAGCATAATGGATACTCCCTCTGTCCCATTGGACTTTGCCATCTTTCCTTATTTGTTTGTCCCAAAAACTTTGCCACTTTCCTTTTAAAGTAATGAATTTGTGGTTCTCCTTATTTCTCTCTCCTCAGCACAAATCTCAACAACATAGTTTTTATTTTTCTTATTCAACACCCAAATCAAAGTAGGCAATGTCCAGCGAGACGGAGGGACTTTAATGTTTGATTAGAGTCTGGGTCGTTTCTTCTGATTCAGAGCAACAAATTGGTTGATGTGAAACACGAGATAGATCTAGGTTTTTGTTAATCGTCACTTCAGTTAAGCATTTTATAGTTATATTAATTTACCTAATTCTATTAATAAAATTAGTAAGGTAAGCCTAGGCCTTACCCCTCACACTGAGGTTTACCTTCTGGGTTTTAAAAAAAAATCCTAAAAAATCATCTTTAGTGTCCCTAAAGTATCCCTTGCTATCCCCGAATATTCCTGTGTGCCCCATTTTATGAATAACAAAAAACAGAAATGAAAAGGGAAAATAAAAGGAAACTTAATCAAGTGTTTTAGATAGTGAGATGAATGTCAAATAAGTGCCAATACACTGACAGAATGCACAAATAAAAGAAGTGTTGCCACATGTTGGTTGGTAACCGATGGGTAACAGGCTAAATAGAGGAATGAAGTTGGGAGTTCTTTTAGTTCTGGGGGGATTGTTGGGCTCTTTTAGCAGGAAGGTAGATCAGAAAACTTTCCTAATAATATATTTCCAACTATCGTCAAATTCAAATATATATGCTATTTTTTACATTTTATCAAAAAACTCAAACATCATCCTTCTTTGCAATTATACTTCCAGTAGGTATTTAATTAGTAATAATTACTTAAGGAAGAATTCCCAACTTTTTCCAAGTTTTTTAAGGTCAAGAACTTCAAAAAATAAAATGTGCGGAGAATCAAGCACTCCCACTGTCCCCTTAATAAACACCAATTGATTTAGCATGTAGATTAAGAAAGTGAGAACGGCATGGTTACAATATAGAGGATGGAAATGGGTGATAATTTTGGGATGAATGAAAAAGCATGTGGATTATTTAGGGACGGAGGGGGCATTAATTAACATTACAAACTAAGAAAATAATGGTGCAAAACATCTGAAGCACAACTAGGAGAATAAAAGCGTCACACACAACTATTAGACTGAGAAAGAGCTCAAGATTTTAGTGGAAATAACATAACTTTATTAGATAATAAATATGACTGCTTAGATTAAGTTTTTTCCGTATTAATGCTAATTAATTAAGTATTTACAAAAATAGGGTTGGGTTAAAAGTATTTACGGATATACTGCTGGGCTTAACTCTGGTCGGGGTGTGTCGCCAAACCGGATGGCGACTTATAAGTCGCCCAACGGTTTGGCGACTTACCCATAAATTAAAGCACCGGGTTCGGGGTTAATTTAAAAAAAAAGTCAGTATCGAGAAAGAAAGTTTTAAAAAAAAAAAGAGGGGCAAAATTGCCTTTTGAGACCCGCTAAATTTTTACGACTATCTTGTCCGCAGGTCGCCGGCGCAGGGGGGTGCGAATTTTCGATTCTGAACTAGAAGCCGGAATTCTTGTGTGCGCGAGAGCTCCCCTCTTCTCATTCACCTTTTAATACGAAGTGAAGAGTGGTTCATATTTATAGGCTCAAAAGTTCCTAAGGGGTTTAGGTGTGGGAAAGTTTAAAAGATTCCTTTTTCTCCTATACTTAAGAAGAGCATTTTTTCCATCTACCTTCTTTAAGAGCTAGTTTTTGAGCCACTTCAAACTTCAAAGTCCTAAACTCCAACACCAAAGGTCAACACTACAATCAAAGCTTCCAAGAGTCAACCTTGAGATTAAAAAAAAAATCTCAAGGTTAAGACTACTTTTCTCAAACTCCAAGCTACATTTCAAGGTCCAGGAATTTGCAGAAAATTTCAATCAACCTCACGTCTACGGTCAACATTCAACAATCAGCAATGGATGTTGTCCGAAACTGACAATGTTTACATTCCAAATCTTAACAACATCCATTGCTGATTGTTGAATGTTGACCGTAGACGTGAGGTTGATTGAAATTTTCTTCAAATTCCTGGACCTTGAAATGTAGCTTGGAGTTTGAGAAAAGTAGTCTTAACCTTGAGATTTTCTTTTAATCTCAAGGTTGACTCTTGGAAGCTTTGATTGTAGTGTTGAACTTTGGTGTTGGAGTTTAGAACTTTGAAGTTTGAAGTGGCTCAAAAACTAGCTCTTAAAGAAGGTAGATGGAAAAAATGCTCTTCTTACGTATAGGAGAAAAAGGAATCTTTTAAACTTTCTCACACCTAAACCCCTTGGGAACTTTTGAGCCTATAAATATGAACCACTCTTCGCTTAGTATTAAAAGGTGAATGAGAAGAGGGGAGCTCTCACGCACACAAGAATTCCGGCTTCTAGTTCATAATCGAAAATTCGCACCCCCCTGCGCGGGCGACCTGCGGACACGATAGTCGTAAAATTCAGCGAGTCTCAAAAGACAATTTTGCCCCTCTTTTCTTTCTTTCTTTTTTTTAAAACTTTCTTTCTCGATACTGACTTTTTTTTTAAATTAACCCGGTGCTTTAATTTATGGGTAAGTCGCCAAACCGTTGGGCGACTTATAAGTCGCCATCCGGTTTGGCGACTTATAAGTCGCCAAACGGTTTGGCGACTTACCCCGACCAAGGTTAAGCCCAGCAGTATACCCGTAAATACTTTTAACCCAACCCTATTTTCGTAAATACTTAATTAATTAGCATTAATACGGAAAAAAACTCGCTTAGATTATTGTACCAACTATTGTCAAATAAGTTATTGCACGAACTGCTTATTCATGAAATAGTCAGAGAATATTTAATTTGAGAGACTTAGAAAATTTGGCAGTTAGAGATTAATGTGTAAAACTAAATAAATGTTTTTTTAAATATTGTTTCATAAGTTTCATTAAACACAAGCATATAAAAGTGTTAATTATGAGATTAATTTTAATTTTTAAAACTCAAGGCAAAGATTATAATTACAATAGTTATGAAAATTTGAAGATTAAGACTTCTTAAGATAAAATGTATAGAATAGGATAGATTTGTAAATTTGACGACAGTTGAAAATATGTATATTAAGTTAATAATAAAGCCATAATTCAACATCTCAAGTCCTTAAGCCAAACTCACCCTTACCAAATACTCCCTCCATCCTGCTAAGATTATCTCATCTTTCCTTTTCAGTCCGTCCCACTAAGATTGTCTCATACCAAATTTGGTAATGTTTGTGTGGTTATAAATCGTTTCTACTTTACTTTTACTTTATAAATTCAATATTAGCCACATAAACTCACTTTTCTTAATAACTGTACCACCTCCTCATGTACCAAACTTAGGGGTACGGAGGTAGTAGCTCTTAACTTTGAAGCGAGTCTTTTAAATTCTTCTGCACAATCAAGGCTCAGAATGCAGTTCCTTTGTATTACCTGGGCGAACACGTTCCTTGTTATTTTAAGGTGATGAAATTTCTCACACTAAATAAAATTACCTGGGCGAACACGTTCTTGGCCTTTGCAAACTTTTGACTCACCAATTGTGCCATCATCTCGGACTGGAGTGCATTTAAATGATACAAGTTTACCAATAGCATCCTTAGCTAAGCGATATTGAAGAAGACCTGATACTTCTGGTATATTTACACCAGAGTCATTTTCACCCTGCAAAATCAAGGAACATAAAAAGCATATAACTGGTGTATGGTAATATCATAATAAGCAAGCGCACCAATTAAAGCAAAAGAACTAGGACAAAGAACATAAATGGTTTGTGTATGAGTGCATCCTATATTCCATTATAGCGACCTTTTACCACTTGGTGTAAATACAGTATCTTTATTTGTTAATTATGGAATGTGACCCATGAGTGTGTGTATTAGGACTGGTCTTCTTCAATGTCATGTTTTAATCATTTAAGAGGCCATTTCCTAATTATGTGTTTCTTAGACATATTTTGCCTAAAATAAGAGAACCAAGTACATACACCACTATCATCTAATCTAACAAAATAACATAATACCTCATGAAGATACCAATTATAAATACTTTTTCCTTCATGACCACCAATATAACCATATGATGCGGTAAGAATTCCACCCTCAATGCAATCACCAGTGAGTGATAAAAAGTTCAGGCTGGGTGGAAGTGCTGCAAACAGTTCAAACCCATGTAAGCAATCTTTCCGAGAAGATGGTCAAGTGAGCATAACATCTGAGTGAATTACAATTATGTCCAAAATATCAATCTTTTAACAGAAGGGTTAGCCTTTGAACAACTAAGGATTCGAAGGTCCAAACTAGAACAAAAGAGTTTGAGCTAATTGAATTTATATCCAAGATATTTAAGTTAAAAACATAGAGGTTTGAAACTTTGAACAACTTAGGAACCGAAAGTTTCTCTGGGACTAAAACTTTGAACAATAAATAAGTTCAAAAGCATCCATGTAAAGCACCCAAACTAAAATGTAATCAGAATATTGCAAGAATAGTCTATTCAATAATAACTCCAAATGGAGAAAATAGCTATCTCATATTTTTAACTACGATATCATTTGCCGATTAATGTTAGCCGGCCCCAAATTCTTTTGGGACTGAGGCTTGAGTGTTGTTAGAAATTCAAAACAAATTGGAGTTGAACGTACTTTCGATTTCTCTTTCCGATAAAATATAAGATGGTTCACCAGCATCACCATCTGGAGACATTGGAGTAAATTTTGCAACAAGGAAGTATCCAACAGCTCCCAAGGGTATTCGGAATGCCTAAAAGAAAGACACTATTTCAGTGGACACAAAGACAAAGCTGAATTTTAGACATCACTGATAAATATTCACACCTAGGAATTTTAGATGTGCTCAAAGAAAGTAACTAATTCAGTAGACACAAAGAACAGAGCTGAATTTTAGACATCACAAATAAATATTCGCACCTTAGCAATTTTAGATGCGCTCAATGATTCAAGATCTTTCTCATCGTCAAGTGACGGTGAACCAGATTTGAACCATTGAACTCTACTTGATCCTTCAGTTCCTCCAGTTACAATACCAGTTACTGTGATTTTGCTGCCTTCCTTCAGTTCTCCGATTATTTTCAGATTTGTTACCTTCGGGGGAGCTGCCATAGGACCGACAGAAAGGATTTTAACCAAAAAAATAACATCAAAGATCACACCATAACCTTAATTTTCCATGGAGCTTTTCTTCATGACTTGAAACATTATACAAGTCACCATGATATAAGAACGCTACTAAAAGCAACAGTATGAGAACTTGGTCAAAACAAACCTTTCTTAATTATCGGAGACACAATTGATACAGATTTCCCCTCATGGCCTACAAAATAAAAGGGAGAAACAGCCAATCAGCCTTCTGCAAATGTAATTAACATAAAGAATAAAGCAATGTATTGAAAGTCCAGCATATTAACATAATTTGCTTGCCTTCAAAGTTAACCGGTACATATACAAAAGCTAACCGGTGCCCAACATCCTCCTTCATCAGAGTATATTCATTTGTACCAGTTGATACTGACACAAATCCCCTGTTTCAAACAACACAATAAAAAAAATTAAAATAAATAAATGAACTTTTAGAAGAGTACAAGGCATTTTGATCAAGTAGATAAACGTCAATTTCGTTTAAAAACCGTAATCTTCCACTAGAAAGAAAGAGTACTTTGCATACTAACAAAGATTTCAGGG